CCTTGACTAAGTCTCTTCCACGAAGCATTGCCGAATCGAAATGGATTTCCAATTCGTTCATATCCCTCAGTTGACTAGTCACATCAATGCGATGAGAAACAAACATGTTGTCGGACTTCAAGATCTCGGTGCCGTTTAACAGGACTATTGCGAAGGTGTCGAGGCCCTCAAACACTAAGTCTATAGTAGACGATATCTCGGTTGGGAGCTTTGCGGGCTTGGAGAACTGTGTTCTGTATGTCCATCGTTTTTCGGCAAGCGATCGAACTGCTAGCTCATTGAGGTCTATGAAGGGGTCTGGTATTCTATCAAGGTGTGAGTGACGGAACAGCGACCACGATATAGGATAACAATTCTTGGAAATCAAGTAGGGCATCACGTAGAAGTGGACTATCAGCATACTTCTTGTTGGCTAGCAGATCCGTATGGACCTGGGTTGGGACACTCTGCACTGGAAGCCATGGAGTCTCATTCGACGAACTGCCGTCATCTTCTCGGAATTGCCATCCTTGGCTCAAATCGTATCTTGAGCGAGTCATCGCAGCGTGTTTTCTAGGTATTCACGAATGATACGCAACGGTCCTGCTCAGTGTAGATGTGGTGATCTAGAGATTGACAACCGAAGAGTGCTTCAGACTTGAGACTGAAAGAGGGGTAGTCGTGAAACAAACAAGAGGTTGTATTTAATTAAATACTACGGTACCCAAGGAAAATCCATCCCGCCTTCCATTCAATGGTATATACATATAAGTGAGGAGGTAGTCGCCACCCCCGAATTATGTGTCTTGAGTAACTTCTACGACGGGAATAATTGTGATTGATGAGATGCCATTGGAGTACTTATTTACCCAGGAGCCTACCATGGTACGCCTAGCGATTAATTTTTAGTAGGATAGGTGCTACTGGCGCACTAAACAATGCCGCTAGAGGCCCCGTAGTGCTGTGCTTGTGTTAATAAGCCCGGATAAGCATTATTGTTTTTAAACAGCGAAGTCTACAACAGATAAGAAAGCTGGAAGTATTAACAACATTAGTCTAACTTAATTATAGAAAATAATGAATCAAATTATGATCGAGGTTTTCTGGGTGTCAAAATATTACTCAATTGAGATTTTGCTAATAACTTATAGGGTGACTCGCTCCCTACCTACTTAGGACAGGTCGTTGTATAGTGCGGGGTTGCGGGCGGGTTGCGGGGTTCCAGTGGGGGAGGGGGTTTCTTGGGTAGCAATCATCCATCGCTTCGACCGTGCAGAACTCACACCCTAACTAAGACTATTCATTAGTTGCTTTAATAATATCATCATAAACTACTTACGTATAAGCAGATAACTAAAAATAAATAAATAAATAAATAAATAAATAAGAATTTTGTATTATGAATAGCGTTATTTGTGTGGTTATTCCGTGTTCAAGTAACAATGTTTATGGTTATTCCGGCGGTATGGCTTTCTGAACCGTGTAAGAATTTTTGGCGTGTGCTTCTCGGTATACAACCCTCCGAGAACCCCAATCCCCAATGATGCTTGCACAATGCCCGATTATCTCGAGACGATCTTCTATCTTGGCATGAAACTGATCCGAAATATGCCTGGATTTTCGATCTTCGCATCACGTATACTCAAGCAAAGTTGTTACCTACTTGGGGTTGGCGCATACCCTATGATCAAGCCCATAGCTTCCAGTCATATCGGTCTGTAGTGAGCGATGTGGGCGAGTATCAAAGTCTGACACATCTTCGGTCAAGTTAATCAAGGAAGCTAGACTTTCTAAGATTTATGAGACCTATAGGATAATGAGACCGCCTGTTTTACTGGAGAACACGTATTACATCACCCAAATATGCATGTCATTAATGAGATAAAGACTGACATCGTCCCTCATACGACACATAGTACGATTGAGCGATCAACGACAATGTTCCTTTAGACGGGTGTGTATAGCCCGAAATAGGAGCCCCGTTTTCATCTGAAAAAGAACACGTAAACGCCTGCATTTTATCGTCAGCTACTCACTGATAATGTCTCTCCTTATGGCTTAATCTCGTCTGTACCGAGTTCAAGTGTAAAGTTCTCGGTCTAAAGTGCTCCTCCTAGAAGCTGTCGGGATGTATCGAATCGATAGCCTCTATAATTCGTCTCATCAGAACAATAATTCCCTCCTCAAGCTAGACACTGAATATCACGTAACAAGCCTTCTTGTAAACTTCTGAAGGAAGCGGTGCTCGTATCGACCCGAAAGGATGTTGAGGGAGTATTGTAAGACTCCAAGCTCCCGCCCATCTGCAAAAACAGAAACCAGTACCCCGCGCATCATGTGTTGGCGACGAGACAACGGCGAAGACGCGCGTCATCTGACGAATGGAATGTTTCGATTGACCTGATCTTTGAGCACTACCGTGGTAACAAATATGGCTGCCTGACTTGGCGAAGTTCAAGGCGTGAGGAATGGCTATCCGTAGTCTGCTCTTCACGATGTCAGAGTAGCATCATTACGAAAAAGGCTTCGCTGCATACGTAGACGGCCATATATGGCAGTAGACCGCTTAGGACCAGGTGCAGACGGTAGGCGGGAAAGCTCTTCCCAATCAGTTAAGGCTCGAAAACGAGTATGCTATAGTTTAGGTACCTAGTCTCAGTTAGTATTTCATCCAATGGACGATGCTAAATATCCTGCAGGTCTAACCAAGACCTGCCGTCCGCAGTCATCGCAGTCTTAGGCTGTGCAACTCTCACGCTACACGGCGTGTTTAGTTGTTGGATTTGTATGAGCATAAGTCTGGCCTGCGGTCATGTTGCGACTAACGCAGACCATGTATGATTCAATCTGACGCGCATCACGATGACTCACGCATTCGAGACAGCGATGCATACGAATCAATGGATGCTATAGGAGAGCTATTTGAGAGCCCGTCTCATCGGATTATTATAAATTCATGATTGTGATCTTAAAGAGACACGGCAACTACATTCCCAGAGACACAGCAAGGACTCGGCAGGCTTCAGTTACTTCAAGGTAATCAGATCGTCAAAGAGACTCAGAAGGCAGTTTATAATCAATAATTAAACAATGGATTACCTTCACTCCCCAGAATTCTCTCCTCGAGTGGAGGAGCTCATGAAGAAGTATCATGTGCCTGGTCTGGCTGTTGCGATTATAGAGGGCGACCGTACGTTCTCCGCAGGATGCGGGCTAGCATCTATTGATCCGCCGAAGCCATGCACCGCCGACACTATTTTCGATATTGCATCTTCTTCAAAGTCGATGACGGCCGCATCAGTTGCGCTACTGGTCCGTGACAACGACAAATATCCCGACGTGCAGTACGATGCGATCATGTCGAAGCTCCTACCTGGGGATTTTGTCATGCCAGGTCAAGGGTATACGGAGGGGGTCACCGTCGAAGATATTCTTAGTCATAGGACGGGTATGCCACGGTTAGTATTTGCAGACACACTTGAATGGAGATAGTTACTATCACTAACACGTTCAGCCATGACGACTCCGCCCTGGGTCCACGAGCAGAGCAGCCCGATGACGGGCGATCTGTCACGAGGAACCTGCGCAACTTGACTCCCTCTGCGCCGCTACGGTCAACGTACATGTATAACAATCTCATGTACACCGCAGCGGCCTATCTGGTAGAAAAGAAGAGCGGCCTCGCCTTCGCCGATTTCCTCCAAGAGCACTTCTTCGGGCCGTTGGGGATGTCCTCAAGCCACCTCCAACCGAAGCGCTCCAAGGACAATGGTCTGGGTGACCGAATTGCCAAAGGACACGCATGGCAAAAGGAAGAAGAACGCTACGTTGGTTTCGAGGCCTTGGACGCCCCCGAAGGCGAGGGGGCCGGCTCTATTATGACGAGCGTCAACGACTACCTCAAATGGGTGAAGGCGTTGATGAACCGGGAACACCCCATTGACGACGAGATCTACAAGGGCATGACCAAGATGCGAAGTTTCGCGTCCCCCGACCCCGAAGACGGGGATCCGATGACTTCACCATTGTTCTACGCCACGGGCTTGGAGGTATTCTACTACCGCGGCTATGTAGTCATTGGCCACGACGGCGGCGTGGCTGGTTTCGGCAGCCGGCACTTCTTCGTCCCCGAACTCAAGCTCGGCGGCGCCATCTTCGGAAACTCGAGTAACGGGGGCGACGTGGGCACGATCATATCCCGAGACTTAATCGACGAGGTCCTCGGAGTGCTGGCGTCAGAACGACCGGACTGGGATAAAATAGCGTCCGATGATATTGCAGCGTACGAGCACAACCCAGAGGAGGAGGAGAAGCGACGGGTCTTGAAAGAAGAGAGCGAGCCGCAGAAGACGCCGCTCAGCGCCTACACGGGCAAATACTGGAACACGGGGTATCGCGGAATGACCGTGGCTGTCAAGGACAACAAGCTCTTCATTGATGCCAACGACCGATCGATGGGTTACACGCTGCTCTTCGACCATGTGCGCGGACAGACGGAATACATTGCGCATTTGAGCGCTTTCCAGAGTGGAGGCGATGAGCTGATCAAGGCAGAATTTAGGTTTCAAAACGACAGAGTTGTCAAGATGGGATTAGAGCTCGAGGCTCGGATTGATGAATTCATTTGGTTTGACAGAGTGGAAGACGCCTGATCGAATCAATATAGATGGGCGTCTAAAAGATAATTTCCAATCTAGAATATTTGAAGCCCAAATGAATCGTATACCCTACATGCAGTCGATTAATTAATTAATTAATTCGCAATTTAGCGCTGTAAGGTGTCGATAATGATTGTTGTCATTGTAGCACGAACGAAAGGAAACGGCCAAGTGAGCAAGCAGTAAATCGCCCTAACTAGCCCTGACACGCCCTATCAGGCTGAGAAAATCTTTCGAGGCAGCATGATTATCGTCTAACGAATATGATGTGGGGAGTGCTATCAAATTGAGCTCTCCGTCGCATTGAAGCAATGAGGCCAAAAAAGAAAACGTCCGCACCAAAAATACAAAAATGTTTTGTCGTGACCTCGCTGGGGGTCGAACCCAGAATCTCCTGATTATCTCGATGGATCATCATCGTAGTCAGACGCCTTGCCATTGGGCCACGAGGCCAGTCAACGATGGATATTGGCGACTTACAAGCTCCCACATAGTCAGCTTAGGAAAGTTTGCCGGTTTACCGGGAGTGAAGAGCGCGCTCTTGGCGTTCACACAAAAGCAAACTCTCTACTGGTAAATAGGATCGTGCCATAGATAGGGCCTACACGATGCTAATAGCTAGGCGCATCAACTATGACATTCCTCACTTAGCTTCACGGGATTTCTGACATAGTTGCAGTCACGGATGAAACTGGAGGACCACGGTGCATATCGGTTTGTATTATTACGAGAACATGTTTTTGTTTGAAGCCCCCGATGCTTGCCTCAAACATTCCTCTCCCCCTTGTTACTCCTGACCAACTTCATATTTTACGAAGCTAATTCGTAAGATTGGCACATTTCTTATGACATTTGTCTTAGATAACATTTCCTCCGTTGAGGAGGTTAAGATTCCGGGTATATTGCTTGATTTGGCGAGTTTGTTAGATTCGTCATAATGCTAGCGCATACCCTAGGGTAAGGGAAGACATTATTATATCTTCGCCGCTTAGTAAAGAGTGTGGAAGTCAAAATCTACAGCCAACCGCGATCCATCAGGACTGAGGAGGGCCGTAAAGATTCGTTAATAATTGACGATTCTCGTATAATTTCCCAGCTACGTTGAGTCCACTTCCACATTTGCGTCTGTGTCGAACTGGGAAAGGTCCCAAATGTCAGTACCAGGACCCTGATTCATATAACTGCTTAGGTGGGGTGTAACAGTAGTAGGGCTGTTTGTCGCATTGCTCGCGTTGGTCGAATTGGTGTATTTCGGATCATGGACGTATTGATCTACAGTGAAATCGGTGTGTGCGTTTCCTGGCAATTTGCATTTGATCTTGCCACCACGGGCTTGACACTCCATGTTCTGGCAAATATGGCCGAGAACACAAGACGAGGCCCTACAAGACCCTCGCTTCGTACAAGGTAGCGACCGCGACAGCCACTCTAGTGCGGGGAGTAATTCTTCTGGTAGCGGGTTATGTTCGTATTCGCAATTCTCGTTAGGGCATGAGTTCGTGAGTTGTTTGCTATTACAGAACTTTGTGACGCTAGACAGTTCCCTGAGCCTAGATGAAGCCGCAGGACTAGGGGGTGGCATGTACGCGTCTAGTCGATGTAGGTTCCTATTTACGGCCACATAGCCGTCTGGTATATCGCTCTTTTTCGGCAGTTGATTTGCAAAATCGGCCCTTGCCGACATCCTGCCTGGTAATACGGCGTCTGGTTCATACAATGCTGCGGCGGCCAAAGACTTTACACGGCCGGGGCCGTTCGTAATTTCGTTGTCATAAATACCATGACTACTGGTTTGGTAGGAGAACTGGGATTTAGATCCTCTGGCATCTACATGCGCGTTTTTACAATCTCCTCCGAATCGACACTTGCCAGACTGATAGAATTGACATATCTTCTGGGGTTCCCGTGAGCCCGCTCCTGGATAGCTTATATTGCTAGTAGCAGCAGAAGGGCCAACCGGAAGGGGGCTCTTCATTGGATCGGCGTTTGCGTTGGGTTTTGTGAACGGGGTAGGCGCATCAAGAGGTACTGTTCGGAAAACGCCAGGTAGTTCCTCAACGCCCAAGTCTAGCTTGAGAAATTGGGTGTGGAAAAGGAGGCCGGATGATCGTATAAGCGTAACTCTATTCCTGTCCCCCCGAAATCTGGTCAACTCAGAAAGATAGCCAACGTCATGGCAAGCCGCAAAGTAGATGTGCTTGCACTGGGCATTCTCGGCATATAGGTCCAAAAGTGCACGTATCTTGAAATCGGCATTCTCCTTGAGCTCGCCGGCATCGACAAAGTCGACAAGCCCGTATGACCTATTGAAGTTGGCCACGAAAGGAGCGAGGGAGCGCTTGTCGGCGGTAGCGAGACCATTTTTTGAAAGAGTTCGGGATAGATTGACTAGGTTCGCATACACGCGAATCATAACTTCGCAATGTTCTAGACCTTTTCCTCGCAGGCTGGTCTTCACCACCTCGTACAGGTGTTGAGCAGCCTGTGAGCCACCATCGGCGCCCCTGTGCAGGAACTCATCTTTAAATATGTATCCATCCCCATCGACGACAACTAACACGAAGGGGTTCCGTTCTTGATTACGGGCAAGCTGTTTATAGCGCTCTCTAGTGAGTTTCTCCTCCTCGAAGTCACTCTTTAGTTGCTGGTAGCTGACGAGGAGATCGGCGTAACGCTGTAGAAAGTCCTCCTCGGCGCTCTTCGCACGAAACTCTGCTAGTTTCTCGGCAGCATCTTCGAGTTCCTTGTCGGTGAGCATAGTCGACACCGCGCAGAGCTACCTGTCCTGGAGGGTGAGATATGGAGGGTTAGGGGTAAGTGAAGAGGGGTTCAAGGGATGCTTCGCAGAGACCTCCCTCGGCAGGCCATACAGCTTGGAGCAAGTTGCTCTGGAGGCGACCGTACAGCTGTGGCGCAGCGGTTGTCTAGGACGTACATGTGAGAGCAGGGGGATACAAGTCATCAATACCGGCAAAATAACTCTTGTGCAAATAAGAGAGGCCCTGATTGATAGAGGTGGACGATGGAGGACGGAGGACAGAGGATGGAAGGCGGAGTGAATGGGCGGTTCTTGTACACTGAAAGGTGCCGATTTCGATTTGGTGGACCAACAATTAAGGCGGTCAGCGACTGGTTGATTTCCAGGTATCTACATAATATTGACAAGCCAGGCTGCACAGGTGTCACAGGGCCCACTCCACAGCATTCGATTTATCACTTGCATGCCTACCTATTTACTTGGACAACGTGACATTGACTATGAGAATTGAAGTTTCAGTCCTCTAAGTTTGCTCAGGCACGCAAGTTTACCTAAGGTATACCTAAGGTAGTAATAGCAAGTAGCTATGCTGTTACTAGGCTTGTCTAGTAACCTATCTGCTGCTGTAGTACCTACTAGGTATAAGGTAATGTGACGACATAATGTGCGTGCACTTTTCAATCCGTGCGATGCTAATAGCTCTTCTCTGTTTGCTCATTTCTTCCGATTGACCACTCCTAAAAACCACACGCAAAACGCTGATAATGCAAATCGTAGGAAAAGAAAAAGAAATCTGCCCAAAATCGCTCGCTGCCAGGCCGTAACACTGCTGTTGACCCTGCCATCACGTCTGCAATCAAACGAACCTAAGCGATATATGTGACCTGGTAGAGCCTGGCCGCAGTCGAAGACAACCCACACGTATTAGTCGTCGGATCTGTGTAGTTTCCTCAAATATTTCCTGAGATGACGACGCAATGAGCCCTATCTCATATGGAAGTCGTCGTTTTCCAAGTCCACTGCCGTCACCCAGCGGTGATCTGAGTATCTCGCCGCGGAGATGTTCATCATTCGATGATCGTGCTCGGCTGCAATCGTCAAAACAAGAACCTTCCATTCCGTGTTATCTGCGCCGTCGACCGTGACGATCGTGCGGTCGATCACTTTTTTGAATTTTTTGATTTCTAAACCCCTGTCAAAATTATTAGTCCGTGAGGATAATCTTGACAAGGACTGGGATCCCAGTAGGTACGTACAGCTGAGAGTAGACTTCGGCCCAAGCCCTTTGCAGTAGGGTAGGATCGTCTCCGAAGCAAAACATGCCTGGAAGATGCCATAGGGGCTGGGTTTCTACTATTCGGCGTAGACTACCGTCTGGCTTATGAGTATGCTCCCACTCCCCCTCGGCTATCTTCACGAATAGTGTGGCGGCATTCCAGCCGCGACCTGCCGGGTCCGCCGGATACATTGTGGTTAAGACTACGCTCACGTAAATCTCATCGTAGCGATTATAGAATCGCGATAGGATTCTTGTGACTGGCACATCCCACCGGCGAAGCCTCCAGGACCGTTTGTAATCCATTTTGCCGAAAATTTGCTTCCCTTGTATCGTTCCCAGGGGCCGAGGCTTTAATGGGAGTGTTTGGGGGGTGGGATTGTTTTTGATAGCTTGAGTTCGGGTATCAATATGCTCCAAAAGCGAGATGATTGGGGTGACTTTCTCATTCGTCCATAACGACTAGAAATGATGTTCTCAGCTGAGGCTGTCGGAGCTATTCAAGTTTGAATTCAATTGTTCGACGAATGGCTGTGGATTTCTTCATAAACACTGTGAGGAATATTGATTCATAGATGATGCCGAGAAGTTCATGAGCCGTATAACGGACGTCGAGAAGAATGGAGGTTGAAAGGATGATGATGAAAGGTCGTTTGCTCCCCCCAGCTTCTGTAATGACTTGGTTGTTTACCAGGTAGGTAAGTAGAAGTGGCAGTGCGACCTGGTAGATGGAAGGGCCAAACTGCATCTCATTTGGAAATCACGCCTCGATCAGCTGGATAATAGGTGCTTCTTTACTCTAGTTCTTCAGGCAATGTAAATACATCATTATTTAGAAGTTGCTACATACAAGAGCGCCTGACAAGGGTGACTTTCCAACCCACCTAGGTTTGACTTGAAATGAAGCGGTACCTACCTCCCAGTATTTGGGACGTGTAAGCTTCATTAGGCACAAATCTGAGTTCGATCAAGTAATCTAGCCTAGGAGAATACGAATCAAGCGCCACAAGACTAAAGAAACTTCAAAGCAACTCAGGATCTTCGAGACAACGTATTTAGCCTTGAAAACCCGAGACGCCCCCTATTCCACACACTCACATTCTTAGGGGGACGGACAGAGCGTGCATTGACATCAAGCCACGGGGAGGGGTTTTTGATAAAGTTTAATTTTGTACACTAGAAGCGCGGAATCATATTAAGTTTTCGTGCAAAATTAAGGGAAGGAGGCTTCCATAGTGTTAAAGGCCTAGTGACGTGAATGCTCACGGCCTCACCAACAGGTGTCGGGTTCGTTCTTTGAGGATGGTAAACCCAGAAAAAAAAAGCACAGCCAAGTCAAACCTGGATCCCTCAATGCGAGTATTCGTCCCTGCCTCTACGCCGTAGACTTTGTCGCCTTGGGGTGTTCCGCGCCATCTC